GGCAGCAAGGCAGTGGCGAGCGCAGAGGACGTCCACACATCCAACACGGAGCAAAGCAGCACATGACCTACTCACATCACGATTGAACACCACAGAGTCGGCGGAGACCGTTGGTTACCACCACTGCCTATGGCCTGTCTCTTATACACATCTAGATGTGTATAAGAGACAGGGATGCATTYGACTGATGGATAAGGACTCACCACGTCACCCAGAGCTAGTCATTACCCTTAGAAAAGTAGTTGATTTTACTTACACCAACCCTTCAATCCTATCAGACTGTCGGGCCAAACCTCTGACAAGCTATCTTTCCGGCCCGTTACAGCCAAAATGCGTTGTAGTCGGGGGCGGGAAGACGGTAATAGGCTGTAATGGACTCGCTATAGTTGCTATTGTAATCAAACATGAATCGAGTTTAGCATATCTCAAGCTCAAATTCGTGTGATCCGGAGTCGATGGTTGCACTTGGATAACCATCAGGAATGGAGTTCAGCAGATCACAAGCTCAAATCCTGATGTTTATCAAAAGATTTCAGTTTGCATGATGGAATTCAGCAGGCCGCATCTGTAATTGCGCTTAGCGGATCGTGAGCTCAAATCCTGATGGTTATATAAGTGTAACAGACTTGTCATTGTCGTGAGCAATGTCACAGTATTTTAGAAACAAGCAATGGTCTACCTCCTTATTGGTAAATGAATGGTACACAGTACTACACGCATGTGATTGTTGATAAACAGCAGATCTCAAACTCAAATCCTGATGGATACAATATATCAGTGTCAATCATGCAAAGGGCTATATTCCAGGTGATAACAAGAAGGAAAAAAATATTACCTTCGCATTTCGTACTAGTTTGTGGGCAAATTTAGAGTTTTAGCAACTCGCGGAGAAAGATATGCAGACAAAATGAAAGACATAAAGCGCTCTAGATGAGCCGAAGAACAATTGATTGGATTGAAAGCAACCACAGTTAGTTGGACGAAGGATGGAAGGGAAAGGAGGGACGAATGCCGCGTGCATACGCACATTGGCGATGCAGTAAGGAGACTAGATGAAAATCGTATGGTTGGCGCCATCAATACAAGTTATATGTGATTAGCTGAACAAGGGGAAGG